GGAAACCTTAGTTCCGATACAAAACTCCTCAAACTGAATGGTACCTTTATTATAATTTTCTTTAACGAAACTGCAACTCTAAACGGTGCTACTTACACAAACTGGCAAACTAGCTCTTACCAAGTCTTGCCTCCAATACTGCAAAACAACCTAACTGAGAACGAAATTAAATTAGATCTGAATTACCTGCACCAACTTCATTTAACCAATGTGAAAAGATTACAACACATGTCGTCAGGAAATAGCATTTCAATTGGTACAAGCCTTGCAGCCATTCTTATTGCAACAATTCTATCAATCGCCCTGTATTCCATCCTCAGGCCAAAAAACAGGAAATCATTTTTCATTCCGCCAATAATAGATTATCCACAAATTGCAGTAAAACAATAAAATCTTATAAGCGAGACGCTGATGCTTTAGAAGGGGGGTGTTAGCACCATAGGAATTCTATCCAAATACAATAACAAGAACGCTACGCCTCAGCGTTGCGTAAGTGCATTCGACATTTAATAAGAACGCTGCGTAGCCTAAAGTAGTCAACACAAATAACAATACTACAGACTCAGCGTTGCATAAGCGCATTCAATATTTTAAACGAATAAAATTAGTTCATACCGTTAAGCAGTTTTCTGCTAATCCAACAACAACAACGACTTCACATTTCGCCAGCACTAACTTTAAGCGAAAGTCGTGCCGACGTAATGTGAATCCGTTGTCGCCAACCTGAGTTGCCTCAATTTGCTTCGTTAGCATTAAGCATAGCTTACCTTGTTATGTAGTACGTATTTAATTAAGAATTAGTGAATAATAAAACAACAACTTTGTATATAGCTAGTAAGTGAAAAATTGTATACAAATGCAAAGTAAATAAACTCTGTAAGTTCATTTGACCATCCGACGCGTTGTGTTTCAATTCGGTGGCTCGAGGCGATAAGTTGTATGTATGTGTGTGTTCCCAGTAGAAATCGGTCGTATGCATTCATGAAGTATGCATGCTGTATGAGTGAATTAGTGTGATTAATTCATGCGTAGTCAGGAATTTCCATAAATAAATTCAAATTCTAGTGCATTGCAAGCGAACGTACGTTGTTGTTTTAAGTATATTTCTTGATAAGTTTGAAGTGGAATTTTTATAATATTTTCAGTCTTGAACAAAAATTTTAGTGAACGGACGTATTGTGCGATAATATTTTCATCACTAACGGGCTTTTACAAGATATGCATTTGCATTTATAAATGCCACTTTTTTATATGTCCCCGTGTATTAAAATGTATGAGAAAAGTAGCATTTACATTTGGGAATACATATCTTGTAAGAATGCTTTAATACTGTTCCATTAATGCATTTTTGTATGTTTGAAACATTAATACAGCCATATCCATACAGCAGTAGTACAAGTGTATGGTTAGAGTATGCGTACGCTCTGATAAACCACACGTGTTAAATGGAAATGAAGGTTCATTTATACTGGCATCGCGGTTGCCCTTTTGGTCCAAATGGACCAAATTTGGTCCATTTCTTTTCGTTTGGTCCATTGGGCCAATTTTTTTTAAAATAGTCCATTTCACAAGCCTTTGGTTAGGTTATTATCACCCTTTCACTTCATGCAATAGTTTCGCGTTTTAAATTTTTTCTATTTAATTGAGGAATATTCTGCCCTTTGTTGAACATTGTCACCGTCAGTAAAAGTGACGATACGGCCATCGTCAGCCATGTTACTGTTGCGCCGACGACGACGATGACGATATTCAGTATAGGGCCAATTGGCAACACCTGCTAAAAGTGTGAACTCGCCTTGCCACAGATCTTATAATATGGCGTAGTTAATCATCTATCAAAGCACGCTTCAAAAATAATCGCGGTTTCTTGCTAATTTCAATAGCCAATATTAAAGTGGCTGGCAAAAATATGGAAAGGTAGCAAAATTTTAATCATAGTATTTAGCACATGAAGATAATATTCGATTTTAACCGAAAAGATATTAAACATCTTGGAATTATTACACCACATAAAGTTCCTGCTGATACTGATGTATCAATTTTGCCGCTACTCGACCAATTTCCTGCATTGGTAAATGATGCAGACATAATTGAATTTCGATTTCGCAAATTGAGGCTGAGTGAAGGTAACTTCAAAAACTGTACCAATACAGAACGTTTTTGGGATCAAATAAGTTTGATTAAAAATAGATTGGGTAAAGCAGCCTTTGGAGAATTGTGTGATTTAGTTCATAATATTTTCAGTCTACTCACAGTTCCGCAGCAGCTGAGCGCAAATTTTTTGAATTAGCATTAGTGAAAACGAAATTAAGAAACAAATTATAATTTAATGGCCTTATTCATAAAAAATAAAGTAGCTTTAAAAAACGTTTATAAACTGAAAAATTTATGAAAACGTCACTTAATAAAGCTCTTTAAACCTACTTTATTTTTTATGAATAAGGCCATAAAACTTTAAACAATATAATGTTAATAATATACAATTGTTATGAACTTTAGATGCAATATAAAAAAAAAAAATCTTGAAAAAGAGGAATAAGCTCCACGCATGTATACACAACAGCAAGCTTATGCCACCAACAGCGATATCATATGCATCAAATTTCTACTGTGTTGCCACCGCTCTGCATGCTGGGGATGCATATGTACACTTACATATATGTACATACATACTCAGATGTGAACAGTCAAATACGTGTGAAAATATTATTTCTAAATACGAACATTTTAAGCGACAATCAAATATAAAGTATTCATTTTTACTATGCATTATTTCCCTCAGTGTACTCTATGAAAGCAGCTTAAAAATGTGGTAGCACCACAACAGCATACCAAAATAAATAAAAGCAACTAGCAATCGTTCAAGCGCAAAACCGGTAATGTGTCAGCCATCAAGTCATAGCTCTGGTGCAATACCGCCAAAACCGAGGGTTGCCAGATTTCTTATGCGCGAAATCAGTACGTTAGACTTTTTCATGCTAAAAAAATCAGTACTTTTCAGTACATATTTGTTTAAAGCAAAATTATGAATAAAAATAACAGATATACTATAAAACGGAGAGTACTTGTTTTTAACAATATTTTGGTATATAAATAAAATATAGTTCATAAAAAATAAAAGTGTTATTCATTTTAAAATGAGTGTACACATCATTATACACAGAAACCAATAAATTATTTTATTTTTATGACATTTTTGAATAGCAATAATGAGATCATTTCCATCTTCATTTCATTTAAAATTACTTTTAATATAAAGTTCACTTTAAATAATTTTAATTAGAAGCCGGGTTCTCTTTGCGCCAGCATTCGAACTTTATACTTAAGATCCTCTCAGTTGCTTCGTTTGAGAGTAGTATTGAAAAAAAGAACAAAATTACATAGTTCGTCAAACTGTGGAAAAGTACCAGTATTTAAGGACTTCATATATAGTTCCTCATGGCTTAATATAATTTTTTCAACTACGCAAAAACTTTTAAAGACTAAGAGTTCGCTAAAAATAATATCCAACTACATTTATTTTATGTAAAACTCTTTTACAGTGTCCGTCAATTGTGAAAAAAAGAGTTGTAAGCTATAGGCAAAAGCGATTCGAATATTCAAATTTGTTGTTATTAAACTGAAAGTTATTTTCGAGATAACACTCGACAAAAAAAGTCAGCAGTTAAGCTCCATCATATTATCGCAACTGGTACGTACGACCCGGCGATATGCCTATAAAACGATTGGACTTTTTGTTGCATTAATTTCTTGGGCATATGAAACATTATCTTAAACATGCCAACAATAATTAAATTATTCTTTTCTTACTTTTTGCAGTAGAGTTTAAGGAAGCTCCAACGTTATGTAAAAACCTTAAGAAAATCTTAAAGTGTTTTGTTTGAATTGAAAATTCAGTACAAATCAGAACAAATTTTGAAAAATCAGGACATTAGCGTACTGATTGAAGAAATGAATAAAATCAGTACAAGACTTGAAAAATCAGTACTGTACTGATAAAATCAGTACGTCTGGCAACCGTACTACAGACGTTACTGCTTCGGAAACGCAAGTACGCACACATCTGTGCGACTTTATCCATTGTGTACAAATATAAGTGAGATATCTTAGCAATAGACGTCATCCTGGGCCACAGCTGCGATCATCTGTTTTTTAGAGTTGCTTATTTTGGTCAAAACTGTGCCTTTTTGACTTGAGTTGCATTAAATAGTCTCATAAAACTTAGTACTATTTGTTGTTCAAATGGTAACATATATGTCCAAAAATATTATATGATTGTTTTTTAAAAATACTATTTATAAAATTTCCCTTTGATTTCGACTTTAGAAATATTCATATTATAAAAGTTTTTCACATATGTTTTAAGATTTTAAAGTTTTTAAAAAGTACGGTAGAATGCAACAATGTGCTTGAATTTGTTTGCATCTTCGTCAGCTTATTCATTTGCAGACTCGAAAAATGGCGAACGGCTATCAAAATACTGATTCCAAATATACATCTTTCACTGGACACACAAATTGGGTGTGCGCAGCAAAATTCAGCCCTAATGGCCAGTTAATTGCATCATGCGGCGACAAGTTAAGAATTTGCGATACATCTTCAGGCGAACGTGTGCGAACGTTCACCCGGGGAAGAGGTATGGGACGACAGCTGGCATGGCATCCAGACGGTAATCTGGTGCCTTTAGCATTAAGTTGTAACCGCGTTAAGATATTGACATAGCCGAAGGCGAGCTAATACAGTTGTATCAAGTGCATTCGTCGCCGGAGAATGATGTTGCATTTCTCCCAGGTGGAAATTTCTTGGTGACTGGCGGCGATGACGATATAATAACATTGCTTGATTTATTAGAAGGTCAACCAATTTATACACGGTAGTACTGCACTTTAGCGGAACCAGGTCAAAATGAACGGGAAAATTATACACTAACTGGCCATACTGACAAAGTTTGCGCCGCCGCTTTCCCCACACGGTAGACATTTTGCTTCCGCGGGCGAGGATCGACAGGTAATTTCTGCTTTGTATGTGAAAAAATTATATAATATACATTTTTTCCCTATATTCAACAGTTTCTCGTTTGGAAATCTAATTTGCATACATTTGATGCCAATAGCTTTCGCAATAAACAAGCCAGTTCTCAAAGAGTCCAAATTGATTTTAGTCATGCAACAGCTCCACATAACTCCGCCATAGACACACCAAGTTGCTGGAGTACCAAAAATCTGTGATGACAGTATTTTAATTGATCCACGATAATCGGTGGCATATGGAATGCGTGATGGAAATTTTGTGGTGCTTGATAGCCAATATACTACAAGAGTGAAACGCTACATTACAAGCTGTGATAGTAATTTTTCTTAAATTTTCATCCTTTATTTGCAGTTACATTAAGAAGCTAATAGAGGACAGAGCTGTTGGTGAGGAAGGTGTCGAGTTACTGCAGTACTGCAACTGGGAAAATCCACATTTCGCACGTGTCCCACTCGTATGGAATAGTAGCTTATGTCGAAAGGCTGGTTTTAGTATAATGCGGCATTCGCAGCATACCCTCACTGGATTATACTAAAGCTAGCTTCCCGACATAAACTACTATTCCATACGAACACAGAAATGTAAATGTATCTAAAACTGAATAACTCAAATCAAATTGGATTGCATTTGCATAATATACCTAATATTGGAATCTGTTTTGATCGTAAAAAATACAAATTGCAATCATTTAGATTATAGTTTTGAAAGAAATTGATTGCAATCGTAAATTGTGTAAAAATTGTTAATAGCAATCTGCCTTAAATTTATGTTCCCCATGTAACGGTTATAAAATACGTTAAATCCGCACTATCTGCATTAACAAAAAATATACATTGGAATATTTAAAATAAAACGATTCATATTTATTTTCTAATAAGAATTGTTTCTTAATTGAAAGTATTTAATACTAATATAATGTAGTGGTTAATGTTTAAAAATGAATTCGCAATATGTCCGCAGCTCAGGTTGATTTGAAGAAATCCGTTTAAATTTTTCGAATTACATCTACTTGAATATAGGATAGGCAGGGTTGCATACAAATGGTAGTTCCGTAAATATTTAAAATATGTTAGTTCATTCAATATTTGCATCTGGGCCAATAAATAATAACAAATATAGCCGAAAAAACAAAGTTTCGATTAAAACGAGTTTTTATAACCCACCATAAAATTCCGATTAATTTTAAATACGAAAATAACGATATTTTTTCATGGAGAAGTAATTTTTTCATATACCTTTTTTATACCTACACAAGAACCGCATTAGCAAACAACCGATTGGACTCAACATATATTTCTTTACAGCATTTATACCCCTGTCTTTATAGCGCACTCGATAAAGTCTTATTCAAAAGTAAGTATACTTGTTTTCTAACTGATGTGAGAAACAAAAACCCGATTTGAAAATAAATAGAAGTTAACACACTTTTCAATTTCAACGCGTTTTGAAATTTAGTCTATGCATCCGTTTTGAATCACAGCGAACTGGGTCAAAGCGCCTTATGTGTCGGTATAAACAAGGTAATAGAGCCTTTTCATTCTTAACAACATACATTCGACATTTTATTTAACTGTTGAAATGGTAATAATTACTATGCGCAAAAAGTTACTATACATTAAATTTTTGTTTTATAAAAATACATTTTTTTAATTTCACTTTAATTTAGACAGTGGAAATATTTTCATTTTAAAAATGTATAACATATTTTTGAAGATTTTCAAAGCTTTCAAAAAATACTGCAGAACACAACAATGAGCCTTAGGTATAATAAATAAGCAATTACCTTTTCTTAAAATTTCAGACGTTTTGTTCAATAATAAATAAGCAATTGCTTTTTCTTAAAATTTCAGACCTTTTATTCGATTTGTTCAATCAAATCTAAATAAAAGGTCTGAAATTTTAAGAAAAGGAATCGCTTGTTTTTGAATTACTTTATATACTTATTTTCTGTCTCAAAATGGCTTCTCGGCCATGCGGTGGAGTAAATTGGAAGACGAAATAGAAAAATATTTGAATAGAAATTTGTTTAAGAAACCGATTTAGTTAATAAAAAAGGAGATTGAACATTAATCATGACGGACATTCGTTTGCGGATGCGGAAAACATCGTCCCAATTGTACGTTTGTCTCCAATTTCTTTTATTAATAATTGAATAAATTTAATTTAGTTTATTTCTACTTTCCGAAAATTTCCAATGGTTCTGATTGCTGCAAGAATTATTTAGCGATTTGGAGCATAATCAACACAATATATGCACATAAATATGTATTTATTTCACCGATATCAGGGTCAGCTTAGAAATACGTCACCAAAATTATATAAAATTAAAGTAGGAATTATTTTTATTTATAACGTAAAAGGGATATCTGACCCAATCTGATAAGTATATTTCCCCTAAAGTTAACCCATTTTATTTACTTTTTCTCTCGTGAAAATATATATTTTCACTAAAATTTTCAGATATGTACATGTATTTAAAATTTCTGCTTTAATTTTTGTCTCCTTTTAATATTTAATTAGATACGTTAAGATTAAAATAAGCTTAAAACGAAACAGCACAGCAACCCTTTTCTGTTCACCTTGAGCACACAAAACCCTCTTTTGTTAATATTCGGCGCTGCACAAAATCCTGGCTTTTATATTTTCCAACAAAATACCACTTCGCAACCCGGGATTTTCACGAAGCGTTTCATTCGGGTCGTAGTTTTGCAACTTCGGGCCATTCGGCGTTGTATGCCATATTGGCTGCCATATTGTTCTCACTGTCATCGCCATATTGAACACCCTGTCAACTATCTGTCAACCCTAAGATATCTTACTTGTATTCTTCCATAATGACTTTATCGCAGCTAAAACTGTCAATTTATAGACAAACAAAAAGTATTTTTCAACAAAAATAAAATTCTAAACTTTTCTATATCAAATATGTTTTGTTTTCTTACGTTCAATTTTGTTTTAATATTGACCTTTTTCGTTCCCAAAACGCGGCAGTCTGCGATTTCGGCACGACCAAAAGATGAACTGTGAATGGTCGAATAAATCGCTGCAGAAAAATCAAACAAGTGTGTGGTTCCTCATTTAAAACTATGGTCGGCATTGTTGTAATTTTTGTCGGAATAGATTCGCACCGACAGAATCGCGTAGGTGCGGGGATACCTTTAATATCAGGCGCTGCCACCGGTTCGAGTTAAGGCACGAACCTCGAGATGGCATGAAACATTGTTAAGTGCTGAATTGGCAAACTTTCTGGTGAGTGGTGAAAAGTCAACAGAGTTTATTACGCGGATTCAGGGCCCGGACTTTGGAAAAATTAATATTGGTAGATTTTACATAAAAACATGGTAGAAGTTGGTAGATTTTTTAAAAATAAACAATGTTAGATAGTTTTTACTCATCTAGGATAAATAACGGTGAATTCATATAAGGGGGTGTTATCGGAGCAGCTGTATTTTTGCCTCGGATGTTCTTTATGTCAGAATGGTGTAGTTGTTGCAATTCTTATGGTAATTATGCGCAGTTGGTGTAATTTTTGTTTCTCTACTCCTGCTATAACGCTGGGATAATTGTATCTTTTAATAAAAGAACAAAAAATGTATTTCACGCCAATAAAACGTTCAACAAAAACTTATACATATTTAATACTGGGCCCGAAGCCCGAATCACGGCATCCGTGATCGAATGTAAATCTATTCGAATCGAATGAAATAAAATGACAGCTATTTTCTCCCAAATATATTGGATGCATTCTTTATTCATTCTGAACGTTTGGAATGAACTTTTTTGTTTACTTATACTTTATAACGTTCTTGATGATATGTAGTATGCNAATAAATAAACAACAGATGTTACAATAACAGAAATTGTTGTGTGTCACGCTGTATAATACATAAATACATCGATACATGTTCAATAAAATTCATTAATTATTAAGTTCCTATATTGAGTGCTTTCTCGTCGATACTTATACAAAGCTAAGTAGTTGTGACCATTTAAAATGCTTATGACTTTAGCCAAGTCTAAAACTTTTTCACCAAAAAAAAGCAGACGTATGTTTTTATAGATGGGACATATACCAATAAAGTGATAGATACATTCAACTTCCCCCAAATTATAAACTGGACAAAGGTGAATTCATATAAGGGGGTGTTATCGGAGCAGCTGTATTTTTGCCTCGGATGTTCTTTATGTCAGAATGGTGTAGTTGTTGCAATTCTTATGGTAATTATGCGCAGTTGGTGTAATTTTTGTTTCTGTACTCCTGCTATAACGCTGGGATAATTGTATCTTTTAATAAAAGAACAAAAAATGTATTTTACGCCAAGAAAACTTTCAACAAAAACTTATACATATTTAATACTGGGCCCGAATCCCGGCATCCGTGATCGAATGTAAATCTATTCGAATCGAATGAAATAAAATGACAGCTATTTTCTCCTAAATATATTGGATGCATTCTTTATTCATTCTGAACGTTTGGAATGAACTTTTTTGTTTACTTATACTTTATAACGTTCTTGATGATATGTAGTAGTAGTATATTTATTTATTCAACTTGCAGATACATTATGAAAAATGTTTAGTTTCAAAACAAGTACAACGTGGTTAAATTTAAATAAATAAACAACAGATGTTACAATAACAGAAATTGTTGTGTGTCACGCTGTATAATACATAAATACATCGATACATGTTCAATAAAATTCATTAATTATTAAGTTCCTATATTGAGTGCTTTCTCGTCGATACTTATACAAAGCTAAGTAGTTGTGACCATTTAAAATGCTTATGACTTTAGCCAAGTCTAAAACTTTTTCACCAAAAAAAAAACAGACGTATATTTTTATAGATGGGACATATACCAATAAATAGATACATTACAATAAATAGATACATAGCATCCATATTTGCCTTATGGACAATATCGTTCCAGCCTTTTACCCAATAAGTAGCTTTCTGCAGCGTCTCTTCAGCCAGTATTCGAGGCAACCTTGAGTTTGCTAGGTTCAGACATCTGACTATAAAAAGCATGTGAGAGCGCAGTGTATGAACAAATTGTGGAAAGATACCCGTTTCAAGGTGCAGCATATAGTTCGGCGTGTGGGAGAAAAATAACTTTTTTTATGAAAAAACGTAGAAGCGTTTCCACTTGCTCATATCTTTGAAAGCCCCATATTTGGGACCCATAAAACATGATCGACCTGGAGGATGAGTTAAATATTTGTAGCTTCTTGGACAAGTGTATTTTTGGGTTGTTTATGATCTTTAACCACGTCGCGTTAATGGCGTTCTTGGCGTTAACAAGCTTAGAATCCAGGTGTTTGGAATATGAGAGCTTGTAGTTCAGAAGTACTCCTAAGTATTTATATTCATTTACGATATCCACCAGCTGATTACCATAAGTCCAGCTCCAATTAGGTGGGATTCTTGTACCTTTCCTGAAAACTAAGATCTTCGATTTCATTAAGTTTAATCTAAACGCCCATTGTGTACAGTACGACTGCAATGCATCAATCATTTCTTGCAGCTGCTGCGGAGATTCCGCCAGCAAAACTATATCATCCACATACATTAACACCTTTATAGTTGTATTAGCCACTTTAACTCCACTAGGGAGATAGTTGTGCAGGTCGGTGAGGTACAAGGAAAACAGTACCGGGCTAAGCAGGCAGCCTTGCCGCACCCCCTGGTTGACTGGAAAAGCATCTGAAAGTTGTCTTTCAGTTCTATAAGAAGTAAAGTCAGTAGAGACATATTTTTTTATATAATTGCTGCATTTTAATTGCATAATCTCTTTTGCACCAGAGCAACTGTCCAAAATTTCCAGCAGTAAAAAGATACGAATTTGCACAGCAGAATTGTAAAATTTTATTACCATAGTAAAAAGTTTTT